GAGGAATGTGGGAGGTTGGCCAGCTGCTGGGGAGAGGGTGTGGGAGGGCTCCAGGGCATGTTTGGCCTGTCTCACTCAGTCCTGATCAGCCAGACCCCAGCAGCAAGCTAACCTACCAGTCAGAGCGTCTGCCCCCTGGTGGTCAGTGCATGTCATAGCGAGCTGTTGAGAGGCCTTAGCATATCATTAGCAAATTACACTTTGATTGGTTGAACGGCCAACCGGATGACCGGACACTTAGCATATTAGGTGTTTATTATATCTATATATATAAAAGAGTAATATGCAAATCAACCAAACGGCAGAACGACCAGAACGACTGCTCGACCAGTTGCTATGAGGTGCACTAACCACCTCTTGGTCCCTCCCCCCGGCCAGCAGGCTGCGATTGCTGGATGGCAAATGGGGAACCAGAGGACGCGGGTGATACCAGGCCAAGGCCCCTGCCCTGCCGGTCGCCTCACATACAGAGGACGACACGTGATGGGAGCGGGGCCGGTGAGTGGGCAGGAATGGCCAACCTCTTGGTCCCTCCCCCTGGTTGGCAGGCTCCGATTGCCCAATGGCGAACGGGGAACCGGGGGTGGGTGGCGGTGGGTGGCGGGGCCGGCTGCCGGCAGCCAGGGAAGATGGTCCTGATCGCAGGCCAGGCCTAGGGACCGTACCTGCACACGAATTGCATGCACCAGGCCTCTAGTAGGATTATAATTTTGCTTTATGAACTCTGTATTATTGTGCTAGTAATTTTTAAAAGGTTTAACAATTATTGGTCAAAAGTAATCACAACATGTTTTGATTTATATAAGTTTATAAAAAGGTATCCTTTATGTTCTGTTGATAATATCCCTCATAAAGTAGTACATGCTAGGGATGGACATATATTAGGAATCACTTGTAAAGATTGCTCCTGAAGCCATGTAGGTGAGACTTTTCATTTGAATATAGTTTTTAAAACACCCAAAACTTGGATTTTGAAAAGAATACAAAGATTCAGAACTGATAGAGAAGACTGAAAACAACAGTTTAGAAAGAATGAAGAAAGTCAAAAGTGAGTGTCGTTAGGAAAGCCAAGGGAGGAGACAATGAAGAGGATGAGAGGTCAACAATGACAAATGAGATATGTTCAAGCAAGATAAATACTGAAAAAATACCAATGAATTTGGCAATCAGGATTCCAGTGATCACTTAATCAAGTGCCATTTGATGCTAACATAGTTATTGATAGTAAAAATTTCATGCATTTTCGTTTATATTTTTCAAAAATAAAATGTTATATTTCATTTTTAAATAAAACATGCATTATGCCAAGTTCTTCATTTTATTTATTTATTTATTTATTTATTTAT